TTCCATTTTCCTGACTGAATTTATTTTATTAACCCACATATGCAAATTAGATTAATGTTAATCATTGGTTCATAGCACACTATAATCTTTGCTCCATGCAGCCTTTCCTTTGTTTTATTTACATTATTCATCTATTTGTTAACTTATTTTTCCCTGATAGAATTACTATCCTGAAAATTGATTTTCTGTTGGCCTTAGTATTTTTATCCATTAAATAAAGAAGTTAAATTATGTGATATCTTCAGTCTCTTTCAGCTCTGTTGTTCCATGAATGAGATTAAGACCTGAAATGTGTTCGGTCCACTGCCTAGCATATAATTAGTGCTTAATAAATGGTAGTCATTATTATACAGTTGATCCTTGAACAACATGGAAGTTAGGGGCCCTGACCCCCAATCCCTGTGCAGCCAAAAATCTGAATATAATTAATAACCTACTGTTGACTGGAAGCCTTACTGATAACATAAACAGTGACTAACACATATTTCTATGTTATATATATTATATACTGTAAAACATAAGCTGCTTCTCCAGTTATCTTGACATTTTTTAAGCCAAAACTCTTTCTAAAATTATCAAACCATCCTTTGCTGGCATTAAATTCTCAAGCTTTGGATTCTTCAGCTTCCTTTTGCTTTAAGTTGTCATATAATAACTTCACTTTTTCTCTAATCATATTAGACTCTATAGGTATGCCTTTCTTATAGCAATCCTGCACCCACATAAAAGCTCCATTTTCAATACGAAATAAAAAGATATTTCACAAAAAGGGCAAGATTTTTGTGACTGCTGGAGTAGCTGCAGTGATGGCCTCACAAGTTTTCTTTTCTTTTTTTTACAATGATCCTATGATGAATTCATTTATTTGGAAATGGTGGGCAACCGTAGCTGTGGATCTCAATCTACGGTATGTATCAAGCAATTCAACTTTTTCTTGTAATGTCAGGACTTTTCTCTACCTCTTTAGAGCACTTCCAGCATCATTAATGGCACTTCATATGGATCCCATGGTATTATTTAATGTTTACAGCATTGCACTAAACATGATGAAAAATATGGAAGAACCATGAGAGATCACTTTTTACTGCAATACATAATTTACTGGAGAGACTAATTCTTCACATGAAGATGATTAGCATCATGTGACATTTTAAGCAGATATTTGCAACACTTGAGCTCACCACAATGTATATTACACATTGTACAACGTGTATTATAAATTAATTTTATACAGTTAAGATTTAATACTACAACTTTGTTTACATTTCTCTGGACTATGAATGGTACCATGTATGATCTGCAAGCATTTCCATGCATTAAGTATTGATGAATTTTAACTTTTTATAACATATTTGTGTATATTTTATTATAGAAAATAATAAAATAGACCAATATCTTCACATATTTTAGGCATTCAGACATATCTAACATTCTCTTAATTTTTTCAATATTTCTAAGCTACAAGGGTCATCTGAGAGTTACTTTAAATTGTCACAAATCTCCAAAAAACTTCCAATATATAAGACAGCATGACTTAACAAAAAAAAAACTTTATTGAAGAAAACCCATGTGTAAGCAGACCTGTACCATTTAGATCCATGGTGTTCAAGGTCAATTGGTAATTTATTATTATTATCATTTTTAAATTTGATGAACTTTCACTGCCAATTCTAAATTTGACATAGTGGAAAACTGTTTAGGATCCAGTAGACTTGGTAGTTCTTCTAATGGGCAGTGAAATGTTCAGTGATGTTTCCTCCCATTGGTCAGCTCTGAACTGCCCATTTCTAATTTACCACTGTTTAACAGAATCTCAGGTTAGAAGAGATCTTAAAGATTAATTTCTAGCAATTGATGTAGCAGAGGAAGAAATCGAATGTCTCATCAGGCAAACTCTTCCAAGAGTAATCTTCTCCAGTTTGTAGAGTTTCAAGATGGGTCTTTATAGAGTTCTTGCTCATTCTCCTTCTACTGTTCTTTCTCTTTATTGAATTTCAGTGAAATTTTCTTTTAGAGCTGTAAGTGCCCTTGGCAGAGAGGCCAAACACTAGTGGGGCCTCATTATCAAATAATATGTTACTAAGTATAAAGCAGACTAAAACTTAAAACTGCTAGGTTTCCTGCCTTATGCCATATTACAGAGGAAGAATCGAGGGTCAAATTTTGTGGTGCTATTCTTTGCATACAAAAAGAGAACATTGGTGCAAGACTTGGATTTCAGCTTCTTTTCCAAAGTCAATGATGATTTTGCACTAACCACTACTATTCTATCAGTTTTTCCTTTCTTTGGCAACTGAAGCATTTGTAATAAGACTAATCATATCCAATAGAGCCTAAGGACAAGCTCTTTGCTGTAGCCACTGGTCTTTGTCTGGAAGCTTCATTCTTGGCAAACAGGGTTCTAACCAAGGAATCTAATAGCTCATGAGTTCATTAAGGTAAATCCCAAAGCAGAAAGCAGAGTGTGCTCGTTCATCAATGGAAGAGAGAGACTTTGATATACTTTAGGTTTAGGAATCATGCTTTTTGAGAATGTACTTATGATGGAACTGGAAGATAACTGTAAAAGTTAAGGACAATAAGAGGGATGAATCCACATTCATATGTTTGATTTAACAAATGAATGAGGGTTTCAAGTCTTTTTTGAAAAACAACAGAGCTAGGGTTTTCCCTTTTAGATACATATGCATCCAAATGAAAGAATATGCCCTTTGAGTAAGCTAAACGCTGGCCCAGGGATTGGCTTACAAAGTAGAAAAGTGGTTTACCCACTTCCTACTTCATTTTCCAATTCTCTCTCATGTTCAATGCAGTGAATGTTATGTTTGTGTGTGCCAACCAGGGCATGCTTGCAGAAGGCAAGAGTGTTAGTGGAAAGAAAAAGAAAGACATAATGGAGAAAAAAATATTAATGACTAATTTTGCCACCCCCAAGAAAACAACCTGCAGGCCTCAGGAGACCAGATGGAGTGATACCTTCTCATTTCATTCATAATCTGAAGCCCAGAGGCAACATGGTGTTGAAAGAGAAGCTTTGTGCTGCCTTTGTAGTCCTAAACAATAGCAGTCCCAGAGTCTCAGAGAAACCCACAGGCATACCTTAAACTTGTCTCATGAAGTACCTTGTGCAGTGGCCACCCTCCTGTGGATCATGGTCAGACAGGCTCTCTCCCCAACCTGACAGCAAATGCCCACAATTCTGAAAGAATGGGAGACTGCTCTTCTCATCCCATCTGAAACACATCAGCTTCTGGAGGTATAATCCAATGTCCCTATGCAAAGATGCAGATTGTCAGAGAGGCAGTTAACAGTGATGTAACAGACTGGGAACTTTCTAGACTCCATGGTTGGGGAAGGAGGAAGAAGTGTGTCCAAAGGTCTTGGCCAATAGTGAGACTCTGAAGCCTGGCCATAGTGCTTAAGCTTTTCCACTTATAAATGATAATAAATAATAATAATAAACCACATTTACTCTAGCATATTCAGAGAGTCTGAATTTCACCAATCTTTTGTGCCTCCCCTGCTTCTCCCCCTCCCTTTTCTCCAGTGTTCAGGGCAATGCATGGCACATGCTGGGTGCTCATAACAGATGCATTGAGCCAGTCCAATAAATAAATGAACAAAATACATGCACTTCTGCAAACGATTTAGTTCTTCTGATCTACTTCTTCATCACTAATATGGGAATATGTTATTTTTGTGGGGTTGTTTTCAAGATTAAATAATATAGCATACCTTACACAATGCATGAAATGTCATAAAGTGTTCTGCTCCAAGATGCCAGTGGAATTTTAAGTTTGCAGGTATGTTTCTGCTAAAAGAATCATTACCCAGAGCTATAGGTGTGATGGGCTAATTAATCTCAAACACACTTAACGAACAGTTAAAAAGATAACAGTTGGAAGGTGGAGACAAAAGGGGGGGGCAGTTAGGGATACAGTGAATAGTTTTAAGGCTGGTTGAATTATTTCATAAGGGGTCATTTTGCTTTTCACCTTAAGTCGCCCCCTTCTCCACCTCTGCTCCAAAAAGGCGGGGAGACTGTAAAGCAGAAGGCAGAAGAGGGTTAATCCTAGCTACCTCCTGCCTTTCGCAGTAGTGACAGTGTACGTACGGTACAGTAAAGAAAGTGACACGGCCACATATTTCATCTGAACTTCCTCCGTGGTCCTTTTTATATTAAAGCCTTTCACTGCTACAGGGCTGTGCTGGGAAAAGTTGGACAACTTCCCCCTTGGTGGAGGAAAAGAAGCCCTCATCAGACGCAATCCAACAAATGCATGAAGTTATTCCGTTGGCCCAACGTCTCCATCCACTTGCATACCAAGTATTCATAGAAACATCTTTCCTCAGTCCCATGGCTGGAGTTTCACTCTCCCGTGGCGTCGCCTGGTATTGGATGCGCGGGTTTCGAAAGTCAGCAGGCAGCAGACTTGGCTCGGGAGCCGCGGTGGTTGGCTTTTGTAAGAGTGGATGCGATTTACCGTCCTGTGTGGTAGCTTCTCCCGGGAGCAGAATGTGTAAAATAAACAGTTGCTGAAAAGCATGAAGAATTAACGAAGTGAAAATCTCGGGTTATTTGCTCGGCATTTGACACGCAAGTGACCTCCTCGAATGCTTAGTTGTGTAAGGACGTTTAGAGCGAGGATGAATGAATCTTCAGGGCGCTTAACTCGCGCCAGCGTACACGTCTCTGTAAATCTTTTTCGGGAAGTGGTGGCAAATTCATACACATCCAGCAGGGAGAGGAGAAGACGGGGTAACACCAAGACCTCCGAGCTCTCCTCTCAGCCTTTTGGAAGGGCTGGACTTTGCTGCCCGGGACCCTGGAGGCTACAGCTGGGGGAACCCGGAGGCGCTAGGACCTGGTTGGCGCCTGGCTGCGGCCGCTTTCGGGAGGGCGGAGGAGGGAGAGGAGGAGGGAGAGGAGGAGGGGGATGTGGGAAAGGAGGGGTGTTAAGGGGTGGGGGAGTCATTTATGCAGAGCAGGCGCTGCTGCCATTGCCACTCAGAGTCCCCGCGCGCTGCTCCGAGCCGGAGGGAGCGCAGGGAGCGAGCAGGCGAGCGCTCAGAGCCCGGGCCGGCAGAGGGGGCGCCCGGCCGCTGCCCGCACCGCCCCCGCCGGCCATCTCCGTCGCGCTCGGGGGCCCCGGGAGGAGCGAGAGCTAGTCGGAGAGTCCGGGAGCCGAGCCGGACGAGACCCAACTGCGGAGGGCGCCCGCCCCACTCAGCCTTCTCCCGCGCCCGAGCCAGGGAGCACCGCCGACCGCCCCGCGGCCCGGAGAGCAGGGAGCACAGGTCCCCGCAGCCCCAGGAATGGTCTAGGAGCCGGTGCGGGGCTCGCTGCTCTGCTCCCTGCCCGGGCTCGCCGCCTCCTGCGGATCGCCCGGGGCTGCGCGCCGCGACGGCCCGGGGCTGTGCGCCGGGGCGGCCCAGGCCGGAGAAGTTAGTTGTGCGCGCCGCTTAGTGCGCGGAGCCAGCCAGCGAGCGGGGGAGCAGCGAGGCGCCGGGACCATGGGCTGGGGCAGCCGCTGCTGCTGCCCGGGACGGCTGGACCTGCTGTGCGTGCTGGCGCTGCTCGGGGGCTGCCTGCTCCCCGTGTGCCGGACGCGCGTCTACACCAACCACTGGGCAGTCAAAATCACCGGCGGCTTCCCGGAGGCCGACCGCATAGCCAGCAAGTACGGATTCATCAACATAGGACAGGTAACGAACGACAGGCTGGCCGGGCCCTCAGCGCTGAAGCTGCTGGGGGCTTCTTGGCCCCTCCGCGTCCGCCCCCTCCCCCCTTCCAGATGTGCTCTAGCAGCTGTTGCCCCAACTCTTGGGCGATGCTCTGTCTCGCGCGCGCGCTCTCTCTCACACAGACACACACACCCCAAAGTTGCCGGGATTTGTGTTTTGTTTACTTGTCTTTTGCAAGCCACGCGGGACTGGTAGGGTCTCTGGAAAGATCCGGAGTGCCCCCTTGGTAATTTCAGACCCGGCTGGACCTTTTGACCTGGAAATTCTAAATAGCACTAGTAGCCTGAGGAAACGGCTCAGAGGGTGGGCGTGGGGAGAAGGGGAAATGAGGTCTTTGGGGGGTTAGGAGGTGAGCGCGCCCCTGGTGCCGGCGGGGAAGGGAAACCCTTTCCTGCTCGGACCTGAATTTAGCCCAGAAAGAAGTTTCCTCTTCTTGAGCGAGAGAACTGCTGGCGCTGGAGGCGCTGGGGTCTGGAGCTGGAGGGGAGGGAGAAGGAGAGGGAGGGAAGAGAGGGGCGGGACGCGGTGTGAGCGCAGATTTGGGGGACACCTTCCCGCTTCCTCGCCTTGAGCCGGATCCGCGTGGGGGCTCTCAGGAAGGGGGGAAACTTCTGAGACCCTCTGACCGGGTTCTGGTTCAGGAAGACGGGGAGTCTGAGCTGAGGGCTAGAGTTGGGCGGGCAGCGGGGGCGCGGGGTTTTCGTGGGGTGCTGCTCGCGGGCTTCTGGCCGAGCTGCCTGTGGGAGGGAAATGCCAATAAATTGAGGTGATGTTAAGGGGGTGATTGGAAGCGCCACAGATTTGCAGGTACTCTGGGCTAAATGGTCTTGGCTTCCTCGTTCTGTTCTCCCCACCCCGCTGAGAGAAATGGGGGTGCAGAGGGCTGCGTTAGTGGGTCCCCCAAAATGCTCCCCTACTGTAAGCTTCTCTGGGGCTGACCCGAGGAGGGGGCCTTGGCCAGGCTCAGGGGAGACTCCGCTGGGATGGGAGACCAGGGTGATGGGTGGCGCCCTTCCAGCGGGCGCGCTTTGGGGACTGCTTGGGGTGCGCGCGCCCTGCGTGCTGTGCCAGGGGGCAGGGAGAGAAGGTGCCGGCTGTGCCGGTGGAGCAAGAACACACAGATGGTTTCTCAGGCCATTGAGTTCCCAACGGAGGAACGCGGGGACCCCCCCGCCCCCGGCTGCATGGGGGACGTGATTTCGGCAGAGCTGGGAGCGCGGGAGGGTTCAGAGGAGCTGGAGCGCGAGGTCCTGCTCTTTGCCCGCCCAGGGGGAGGATATATTCCAGAGAAGCCAGCCCAGTGTAGGACTGTGACTAGGGCAAGGGGCACGGTTTGTATCTTCCCTCCCCCTAAGGAAGTAAGGAAAGCCAGCCAGATTTTGTTGCCTGAGTGCCTGTCATCTGCAGAAGCGTTCCATTCTAATGGCTTGTTAGGATTCTACTGTCTTCTTTTTCTCCGGAAGAAAACATAACGTCCGTTCAGGTCTTTTTATATGAACTTAAAGTTGGGCGCTGTGTATACCCCAGGAATGTAAGTGGGAAGACTAGCACTGAAAGTAGTCACGTTAATCTTTCCAGAAGACTTATCTATCAGGTTCGGCTAACACTGAGCATCTCCCATATGCCAGGCATATTTGGAAGAGTAAGTTCTTAAACATAGCCTTCTTTCTTACTCTCAAAACGACCTTGTTTGGTGAATATTACTTCTCATACAGCAGATGAGGAAACTAAGACTCTTGAGAGGTTGACACCCACAGGGTTGACACCCACCTAGACAATGGCAAAGCCACAATTCAGACCTAAGACTTTCTCAGATTCAGGCCCAGTCCCCCCACGGATCGGATCCAGCCTTTTAGGGAACAGCTCCATTCTATGAGGGGGAAGGAGGAAAAAAGTAAAATCCCCATTTCCCTGAATTCTGATTTAATGGCTCAGTAGACTGGAAGCAAATATCCATTCTTAATTCACAGATACTTAGTTCAAACAAACCTGAATTTATAAGAAACGTCATGACTTGAAAGGGCAGAAACACCTGTATCTTTCTGAACTAATTAAGTAGAACTTAGATATTGCAGAATCTGGCCTAGTGAGCGGGGAGAAATTGTCACCCAACCCACAAGCAAACATTACAATGGCCTGCAGCCTCTGCTTGACTGAGGGCCTTATAATGAAGATTCATGGCTTTTCATTTAAAAAGTAATACTAAGAAAGTTTATGTACAAGTAACACCAAGTACTATTTATTGTGGTCTTTACAACACTGGTGAGGAAATTTAGTGCTTATAGAGGTTACAGAGGACCCCTTGAACCAGTGTAAAAAGATCAGCTATTCTACAGTGTAAAGCATTTCCTCTGTAGATCAAAGGAACTTAAGCCTATGCTAAGTCTTTGGGGTAGTAAATTGAGTTCACACGTGCAATATCATTGCACTGTAAGGGCCAAATGTATTTCTTATTCATTCTTTACTGCTCTGACCTTTTAACACTTGAGACATCCTTTTGTTATTTCTTTCCTTCAATAAACCAGCTGTGGATCAGTTGAGGGCAGTAACTAATTAGCAAATGTCTCTGGAATGTTCTCCTGTTTGTACCCTTTTGGGCTTGGGGTCTGTCTCATTGTCTGTGTAGCAGGTTGGAACTGAAATCTGTCATTATTCCTAAAGTCATTTACTATACTAGTCGTGTTTTTGATATATTCAGTATGATATTCTAGGTGAGTCAGGTAGTGAATTTTTACCACTATAAAGGTACAGTTTTGACCATCTATTCAGAATATCAATGGAATGTCTTGTGTAGCATCTTAGCATTTAAAAGCCACTAGAGATAAAATTTCTGGCCTGGAGATTTCTATGGAAAATAATAGGCATGCCTCTTCAGTTTGTAAAAGATAGGATGTGCAGAGTAACACAAAAAGGAAGCAAACAAACAAGCAAAAAGGATGTGCTTGACTTCTGGAAGGGAACAAAAATGAGGGTTTCCTTGGCTTCAGTTATAGAGAGAACATTATGTTTTGGTAGATTTTCACAAAGTATTTATATTTTATGAATGGTTATGCCTTGAAATTCTGAACTGATACTTAATCACAATCATTGTTAGCAATTGTCATGTCACCATGTATCATATTTTGGTTGGTGTTGGAGTCAGCTATAGAATGACCTGCCTTTCTTCTCCTGCAAGCTCTAACTACAAGCCTTCCGAGTACCTAGGCTGATCAGCACCTGCTGGGCTGGCTAAGGGTAGCAGGTGTGCATATCTGTTGGCCCGCACAGGGGATGGAAGAAGAGGCCTTTGTCCTCTCTCTCTAATGGTGTGCTCTGACCTTTTGAGCTAACAATCTACTGGTTAGAGAATTGAAATAATGTAAAGGAATAAGACCTGACATATTGTTAATTGTGGGCTTCCTTTGGTGTAGATCTATGAAGAGGAATTAATGTCTGGTTATTTGAATCCAGGGAGAAAGGCCCCCTGTGAACAGATTGCTTGCAATGTGCAATAGCTTGTATTTATCCTTCTGTGAGTTGCTTATAATCCTCGATTTTAGGCTTGAGAATACCAGTAGCAAAACCCTCTCTCCAAACTATATAACCTATCTTGAAGAAGACCTCAGAAGGATAAAACCAGATGCAAGCCATACTGGGGAAATATTTTACCTGGAACCCCCACTGACAGAATGTGGGCTTGGAAACTCTGGAGAGGCCACTTTCCAGGCTGTGAAAGCAGGAAAGTCACTGAACTTAATGGAGTCCCTGTTCCTTCATCTGTAAAATGATAAATCGCTAGATAATAGAGTGAGTTAACTATGCATTGCTCAGCACATAGTTAGGCTTGCAGTGAAAGGTTTGTTGAATCTGAATCTGAGGAGAAAGGTTGAAATGAATGAGATCCAAACTTTTCGGATACGGAGAAAGGAAGACATTTTTAAAATGGAAGATGCAAAATGTGAAGGTGACGAAAATAAATTTTTGATGGCTGAGTTAGAACAGCTAAATCATAGCTTGTAGACAGAGAAAATGATTTTCCATTTCAACTCACAATTTAAAATAGTTTAAAAATAGTTTTATGTTGGATTCTAGACAATTATGGCTGATTTCCCATAGCTGTGCTCTCTTCCCTCATTGATTCTTGTTATATCCCATTAAATATTATAGGATATATTATAAGAGATGGAAGAAAGGGAAGAAAAATATCTAAAGAATTATGTTAAATCATACTTGAATTTATATCTTACTTGATTCTGAATGGGTTTGTATGAGTAAAGTTGGAGGAAGTATTTTTTGAGAGGTTAGGAAGAGATACTTTAGAAAGAGGAACCCTGTTCAGAGATGTCCTGTAGGCCTCCTACCCTGCTGGTTTATTTTGACCTGTGAATAATATGGGTGCTTGAAATGTTGATTTGCAATAGAGAGTGAGTTCTGGGTGCTCATGGATGGCACTGGAAGTAGGGGATACAGCTAGTTGGATGGGTTGTAAGGGAGTGGACTGTGCCCCTCCAGTCTATTCTTAGGCATTTTGTAAACAGAAGAGTAAGTTGATGTTGTAGTCCCACATTGATCCGGGTGATGTATCTGGCTTTGCACAAGGCAGCTCTTCTCACCCAAAAACCTCAGCTCTGACCTTTGCTTGCCACTCTTCACATGCATATTTCTTACGATGAGATGAGGTAAATATAGGGTAGAAGAACCTTTCCTGGAAAAAGCAATTCAGAGTGCATGGGCCCGATGATGGTGGGTCTGTTGCATTAACTTTATAACAAAGAGTGGCTTATATATGCTCATTTGGGAATTTGGGGGGACTGTTTGAAATGAAAAACTGCATTTTTGTGAGCCCAGAGGCGGCTGAATTTGCCTTATCACTGTCTTTCATAAGTTTATAGCCAGAGGTCCTAACCTTAAAGGTCAGCCAGAGAAACAGGGTAGTATGCTGGGAAATTTTTCAGCAATGCCTGACTCTTTGGCTGAAAGAG